CCTCTCCCGGCGAGGCGCCGGGCAAGGCTCTTTACGCGGTCTCGGAGTCCCCCAGAGGCGCTCCCTGGGCTGAGACACGGAGGCGGAACGGAGGGCGGCCGTCACAGGACTGCGCTGTGTTTCAGTTTGCGAGAGGAAATGTTCAGGTTAAGTTATAGGGGACAGCAAAGTCTTTAGAGGGGAGGAATGCTGGAATTTCCTGGCGTCATCTGTGGGGCAAAGAACGAACATTTTGGTTAAAACTGAGCGGTATGGGAACGAAAGCTGCGGTCGTGTGTGGAGGATATGCGGGAAAATCTGAGGTGGTTTCTAAGGGAGAAAATTGTTTTTGGGGAAAAGTGTGAGGTAATTTGGGGAGGAGAGGTGGAAAAAATTCAGTGATAAAGCCTGGGGTAATTTTAAAGGGCAAGAAGGAGCATTTTTGGGGGGTAAAATCCGAAGGGAATCTGCAGGGGACTGAAGGAATATTTTGAAGGAAGATTATGAGGTAATACGTAAGGACTGGAATGAGTCCTGAGGGAGAGTTGGGTGCCCGAAATGACGCTGAGGGGATGTGAGTGTCACTGAGGGAACGTGGGTCCCTGAGGGAGTGGCAGGTGCCCTTCGTATCACTTCGTAGTAGGTCCTGGAAGGAATGGCCGATTTCTTTCTGGAATTGTGTGTTGCTGAGGGCCCATGAGGGTCTCATGGAGAGGCTGAGGGCCCGTGAGGGTCACTTAGGGGAAGTAAATGTGAAGCCCAAAACTGGGCAAGAAAATAAAACTCTGTTGTGAGAGAGGTAGAGAGCAGAATAGTATTTGTTTATTCAGTGCTGGGAGTGAGGTGGATCTCTGTGCCAAAAACTCACTCCATCTTCTTTAGCTTTCAGTTACATTTTAAAAGCCCTTCCGTGCAACATCACATTGGCAGGACATCATTAGCAAACTCATATTTGTGTAAAGCTGTGTCATCAGTTACTTCTGTGGTGGTCTTTTGATGAAAACTTCTATGTTGTTCCTCATGTTTGAACCTCTTGCCTCTTCAGTGCATGCCTGGTGCTTTTTTTTGTGCGTTTAATTTGTTTTGAGCTCATTTTGCCTTTTGGAAGTTCAGTTAGAACTGGCTATCTTGCTCTAGATGCTGCTTGGGCTCTCCCTGGCTTTGAGATCTCGCTTGTACTACCTGCACACCTTGTTACAGTGTTACTGGTGGTTAACCTTTTGTTACTTACTATTTAGGATTGAGATGCTGCTTGTGTTCCTCTGAGGGGTAATATGAGGGTCAATTGAGGAGAGGCAGGAGCCCCGCGTTCCTCTGAGGGGGCATTTGAGGGTCACGGAAGGGGTGGCAAAAGTCCTGTGTGTTGCTGAGAGGACACAGAGGTGATTTGAGGGGGAGCTGCCCCGAGTGTCTCTGAGAGGCCTACGGGGCACCCTGCATGTAACTGAGGGCGTGGCAAGTGCCATTGCGGCGGCGTGCGGATCGCTGAGGGAGCTGCGGGTTTGCCTTGTGTCGCCACGGGCACGCGAGGGTCGCTGAGGGGCTGCGAGTGCGCCGTGAGGGAGCCGGGAGGGACGGGGGGGTCGCGTGTTGCGGCCGCCGCCTCCTGATGGCCGCCGCAGGGGCGCGTTTCCCGCCACGGGGCGGCGGCCCTGCCTCGCCGCTCCCCTCAGCCGCGGCGGCGGGAACTCGAACCGGCTGCGTCCGCCTCTCCCGGCGAGGCGCCGGGCAAGGCTCTTTACGCGGTCTCGGTGTCCCCCAGAGGCGCTCCCTGGGCTGAGACACGGAGGCGGAACGGAGGGCGGCCGTCACAGGACTGCGCGGTGTTTCAGTTTGCGAGAGGAAATGTTCAGGTTAAGTTATAGGGGACGGCAGAGTCTTTAGAGGGGAGGAATGCTGGAATTTCCTGGCGTCATCTGTGGGGCAAAGAACGAACATTTTGTTTAAAACTGAGCGGTATGGGAACGAAAGCTGCGGTCATGTGTGGAGGATATGCGGGAAAATCTGAGGCGATTTCTAAGGGAGAAAATTGTTTTTGGGGAAAAGTGTGAGGTAATTTGGGGACGAGAGGTGGAGAAAGTTCTGTGATAAGGCTGAGGTAATTTTAAAGGGCAAGAAGGAGCATTATTGGGGGGTAAAATCCGAAGGGAATCTGCAGGGGACTGAAGGAATGTTTTGAAAGAAGTGTATGAGGTAATATGTAAGGACTGGAATGAGTCCTGAGGGAGAGTTGGGTGCCCAAAATGACAGTCAGGGGATGTGAGTGTCACTGAGGGAACGTGGGTCCCTGAGGGAGTGGCAGGTGCCCTTCGTATCACTGAGGGCATAGTAGGTCCTGGAAGGAATGGCCGATTTCTTTCTGGAATTGAGTGTTGCTGAGGGCCCTTGAAGGTCACTGAGGGGAAGTAAATGTGAAGCCCAAAACTGGGCAAGAAAATAAAACTCTGTTGTGAGAGAGGTAGAGAGCAGAATAGTATTTGTTTATTCAGTGCTGGGAGTGAGGTGGATCTCTGTGCCAAAAACTCACTCCATCTTCTTTAGCTTTCAGATACATTTTAAAAGCCCTTCCGTGCAACATCACATTGGCAGGACATCATTAGCAAACTCATATTTGTGTAAAGCTGTGTCATCAGTAACTTCTGTGGTGGTCTTTTGATGAAAACTTCTATGTTGTTCCTCATGTTTGAACCTTTTGCCTCTACAGTGTGTGCCTGGTGCTTTTTTCCTGCGTTTAATTTGTTTTGAGCTCATTTTGCCTTTTGGAAGTTCAGTTAGAACTGGCTATCTTGCTCTGGATGCTGCTTGGGCTCTCCCTGGCTTTGAGATCTCGCTTGTACTACCTGCACACCTTGTTACAGTGTTACTGGTGGTTAACCTTTTGTTACTTACTATATAGGATTGAGATGCCGCTTGTGTTCCTCTGAGGGGTAATATGAGGGTCAATTGAGGAGAGGCAGGAGCCCCGCGTTCCTCTGAGGGGGCATTTGAGGGTCACGGAAGGGGTGGCAAAAGTCCTGTGTGTTGCTGAGAGGACACAGAGGTGATTTGAGGGGGAGCTGCCCCGAGTGTCTCTGAGGAACCGTGAGTGTCTCTGAGAGGCATACGGGGCACCCTGCATGTAACTGAGTGGGTGGCAGGTGCCCTGCGTGCCTCTGTGGCGGCGTGCGGATCGCTGAGGGAGCTGCGGGTTTGCCTTGTGTCGCCACGGGCACGCGAGGGTCGCTGAGGGGCTGCGAGTGCGCCGTGAGGGAGCCGGGAGGGACGGGCGGGTCGCGTGGTGCGGCCGCCGCCTCCTGATGGCCGCCGCAGGGGCGCGTTTCCCGCCACGGGGCGGCGGCCCTGCCTCGCCGCTCCCCTCAGACGCGGCGGCGGGAACTCGAACCGGCTGCGTCCGCCTCTCCCGGCGAGGCGCCGGGCAAGGCTCTTTACGCGGTCTCGGAGTCCCCCAGAGGCGCTCCCTGGGCTGAGACACGGAGGCGGAACGGAGGGCGGCCGTCACAGGACTGCGCGGTGTTTCAGTTTGCGAGAGGAAATGTTCAGGTTAAGTTATAGGGGACAGCAAAGTCTTTAGAGGGGAGGAATGCTGGAATTTCCTGGCGTCATCTGTGGGGCAAAGAACGAACATTTTGGTTAAAACTGAGCGGTATGGGAACGAAAGCTGCGGTCGTGTGTGGAGGATATGCGGGAAAATCTGAGGTGGTTTCTAAGGGAGAAAATTGTTTTTGGGGAAAAGTGTGAGGTAATTTGGGGACGAGAGGTGAAAAAAATTCTGTGATAAAGCCTGGGGTAATTTTAAAGGGCAAGAAGGAGCATTTTTGGGGGGTAAAATCCGAAGGGAATCTGCAGGGGACTGAAGGAAGATTATGAGGTAATACGTAAGGACTGGAATGAGTCCTGAGGGAGAGTTGGGTGCCCAAAGTGACAGTCAGGGGATGTGAGTGTCACTGAGGGAACGTGGGTCCCTGAGGGAGTGGCAGGTGCCCTTCGTATCACTGAGGGCGTAGTAGGTCCTGGAAGGAATGGCCGATTTCTTTCTGGAATTGAGCGTTGCTGAGGGCCCATGAGGGTCACTGAGGGGAAGTAAATGTGAAGCCCAAAACTGGGCAAGAAAATAAAACTCTGTTGTGAGAGAGGTAGAGAGCAGAATAGTATTTGTTTATTCAGTGCTGGGAGTGAGGTGGATCTCTGTGCCAAAAACTCACTCCATCTTCTTTAGCTTTCAGTTACATTTTAAAAGCCCTTCCGTGCAACATCACATTGGCAGGACATCATTAGCAAACTCATATTTGTGTAAAGCTGTGTCATCAGTTACTTCTGTGGTGGTCTTTTGATGAAAACTTCTATGTTGTTCCTCATGTTTGAACCTTTTGCCTCTACAGTGCCTGCCTGGTGCTTTTTTCGTGTATTTAATTTGTTTTGAGCTCATTTTGCCTTTTGGAAGTTCAGTTAGAACTTGCTATCTTGCTCTGGTTGCTGCTTGGTCTCTGCCTGGCTTTGAGATCTCGCTTGTTACAGTGTTACTGGTGGTTAACCTTTTGTTACTTACTATTTAGGATTGAGATGCTGCTTGTGTTCCTCTGAGGGGTAATATGAGGGTCAATTGAGGAGAGGCAGGAGCCCCGCGTTCCTCTGAGGGGGCATTTGAGGGTCATTGAAGGGGTGGCAAAAGCCCTGCGTGTTGCTGAGAGGACACAGAGGTGATTTGAGGGGGAGCTGCCCCGAGTGTCTCTGAGAGGCCTACGGGGCACCCTGCATGTAACTGAGGGCGTGGCAGGTGCCATTGCGGCGGCGTGCGGATCGCTGAGGGAGCTGCGGATTTGCCTTGTGTCGCCACGGGCACGCGAGGGTCGCTGAGGGGCTGCGAGTGCGCCGTGAGGGACCCGGGAGGGACCCGTGAGGGAGCCGGGAGGGACGGGCGGGTCGCGTGGTGCGGCCGCCGCCTCCTGATGGCCGCCGCAGGGGCGCGTTTCCCGCCACAGGGCGGCGGCCCTGCCCCGCCGCTCCCCTCAGCCGCGGCGGCGGCGGGAACTCGAACCGGCTGCGTCCGCCTCTCCCGGCGAGGCGCCGGGCAAGGCTCTTTACGCGGTCTCGGAGTCCCCCAGAGGCGCTCCCTGGGCTGAGACACGGAGGCGGAACGGAGGGCGGCCGTCACAGGACTGCGCTGTGTTTCAGTTTGCGAGAGGAAATGTTCAGGTTAAGTTATAGGGGACAGCAAAGTCTTTAGAGGGGAGGAATGCTGGAATTTCCTGGCGTCATCTGTGGGGCAAAGAACGAACATTTTGGTTAAAACTGAGCGGTATGGGAACGAAAGCTGCGGTCGTGTGTGGAGGATATGCGGGAAAATCTGAGGCGGTTTCTAAGGGAGAAAATTGTTTTTGGGGAAAAGTGTGAGGTAATTTGGGGAGGAGAGGTGGAAAAAATTCTGGGATAAAGCCTGGGGTAATTTTAAAGGGCAAGAAGGAGCATTTCTGGGGGGTAAAATCCGAAGGGAATCTGCAGGGGACTGAAGGAATATTTTAAAGGAAGTTTATGAGGTAATACGTAAGGACTGGAATGAGTCCTGAGGGAGAGTTGGGTGCCCGAAATGACGCTGAGGGGATGTGAGTGTCACTGAGGGAACGTGGGTCCCTGAGGGAGTGGCAGGTGCCCTTCGTATCACTGAGGGCGTAGTAGGTCCTGGAAGGAATGGCCGATTCCTTTCTGGAATTGTGTGTTGCTGAGGGCCCTTGAGGGTCACTGAGGGGAAGTAAAATGTGCAGCACAAACCTGGGCAAGAAAAAATTCTGTTGTGAGAGAGGTAGAGAGCAGAATAGCATTTGTTTATTCAGTGCTGGGTGTGAGGTGGATCTCTGTGCCAAAAACTCACTCCATCTTCTTTAGCCTTCAGTTACATTTTAAAGCCCTTCCGTGCAACATCACATTGGCAGGATATCATTAGCAAACTCATATTTGTGTAAAGCTATGTCATCAGTAACTTCTGTGGCGGTCTTTTGATGAAAACTTCTATATTGTTCCTCATGTTTGAACCTTTTGCCTCTATAGTGCGTGCCTGGTGCTTTTTTCGTGTATTTAATTTGTTTTGAGCTCATTTTGCCTTTTGGAAGTTCAGTTAGAACTTGCTATCTTGCTCTGGTTGCTGCTTGGTCTCTGCCTGGCTTTGAGATCTCGCTTGTACTACCTGCACACCTTGTTACAGTGTTACTGGTGGTTAACCTTTTGTTACTTACTATTTAGGATTGAGATGCTGCTTGTGTTCCTCTGAGGGGTAATATGAGGGTCAATTGAGGAGAGGCAGGAGCCCCGCGTTCCTCTGAGGGGGCATTTGAGGGTCACGGAAGGGGTGGCAAAAGCCCTGTGTGTTGCTGAGGGGACACAGAGGTGATTTGAGGGGGAGCTGCCCCGAGTGTCTCTGAGGAACCGTGAGTGTCTCTGAGAGGCATACGGGGCACCCTGCATGTAACTGAGTGGGTGGCAGATGCCCTGCTTGCCACTGCGGCGGCGTGCGGATCGCTGAGGGAGCTGCGGATTTGCCTTGTGTCGCTACGGGCACGCGAGGGTCGCTGAGGGGCTGCGAGTGCGCCGTGAGGGAGCCGGGAGGGACGGGCGGGTCGCGTGGTGCGGCCGCCGCCTCCTGATGGCCGCCGCAGGGGCGCGTTTCCCGCCACGGGGCGGCGGCCCTGCCTCGCCGCTCCCCTCAGCCGCGGCGGCGGGAACTCGAACCGGCTGCGTCCGCCTCTCCCGGCGAGGCGCCGGGCAAGGCTCTTGACGCGGTCTCGGAGTCCCCCTGGTGTGAGACACGGAGGACGTAATACGGGGCAGACAGACATAGGAAATTTTGTGATTAAAATGACGTAGTTTTAAAGGGCCTGAATGAATATAATTGGTGTGAAATCCTAGGACTGACTGGTGGGAAAATGTTAATTATTCTCTATTATGAACATTTTTGAGCATAATCTAAAGTAATCTGAAGGAAGAATAAATCTGCGTAAATCTGTGGGGCATAGAATGGATATTTTGGGTGCAGAATGTGAGGCAAGCTTTAGGTGTCATTTTTGAGGGAAAGCTTGAGGTAATCTATGGGACAGGAAAAAATATTTGTGAGATAAAATCTTAGGTATCCTTTAGGGTACAGCTAGGGGTCCTTTTGGAGGGAAAATCATAGGTAATCTTTTGGGGGTCCGAAGTAAGTTTCTTTTCAGAAAACTTGAGATAAAGCCAGTGAAAAACTAGTGCTTTCTTGAAGGATGATTTTAGGGTAGTTTGGGAGGAAAAATGAGCATTTCTGAGGGGAAGAGTCTGTTGTAACACCGCATTCTGATGTGGCATTTTTGACAGCAAATATGAGATACCTTAGAAGGCAAAGAGTTGATATTTTTAGCTGAAAACCTGTGATACTTTAAAAGGGTACTGTCATGGGTAGATTTGGAGCTGCAGAAAAAGTCTGTTAGAAAAGCCATGCTGCTCAGTCATAAGCTGCCAAAACGACCTCCTTGCCTTAGAAATTCCACAAAAAAAACCATGGTTGTGGCATAATGCAGTCTCAGCCCCAGAATTCTTAATGCGTTATAGCTAAAAGATTTTACAGAAGTGAGTCTTTTCCTTCAGGATAAAGGATGGCAAACAGTAAATATTTATATAAATTTATATGCTTTATTCGGATTATATTTAGAAAAAAGTATACTAATAAAAACAGTTTATAACACAATGAAGGCGCTATAAAAACCAGTGTACTACAATGCCGTTTTAGGGTCAAAGACAGAGAAGATTAGATGAAACCAAGCAAAAAAAGAATTCCATTGCTGTTAAAGTAAGTAAAAGAGGCAAAAAAAACAAAAAACAAAAAATGCAAATACAATGTGGAAATGAGTAACTGGAGGCTGAACCTATGGGGTTATTTGGTGGCAGCTTCCTTCAGGCACAGGAGCTGGAGCTTCTCGGGGCTGAGTGTGTCGTGGTCCACCGGCAGAGGCCGTGGGATGATGAGGCAAGAGCGGCTGCAGCTCGGAGCTGAAGAGCGGAACGGCGAGGCAAGAGCCTGCAAAAGGCCCGGTGGCTTTGAGCCCCAGAGTGGAAGGGCAAGGTAAGAGCAGCAGCTTGGAGGACTAGGGGCTGCCCGGGGGGTTCTGTGGGTGGCGGCTTGAGGATCTGGCCGTGGGGCTGTTGGGTGGCGGTTCCCTTGAGGCACAGGAGCCGGAGCTTCTCCGGCCTGAGTGTGTCGTGGTCCATTGGCAGAAGCCACGGGACGACGAGGCAGGAGCGGCAGCAGCGTCGAGCTCAAGAGTGGAACGGCAAGGCAAGAGCGAGCTGGGAGCTGAAGAAGGGGGCAGGAGAGGCCCTCTGGGCAAAGAGCCTTCCTGGCACGGCCAGGGCACCTTCCGGGTGCCGTGGCTGGCTTTGAGTTGGGCGACCTCCCTGGAAGCAGGGCTGGGTCTTTGCTGACGTTGGCCTTTTGCCGTTGCGCTCCTTAGGCTGCCCGGAGAGAGGGGCAACCCTGTAAGGAGGGTGAGAGCCCCTGTCTCTGCACCTGAGGGGGGAAACAGAGCTCTCCTGATCCCCAGCCCAGCCACCTGCCCTGTCAGTAGGGCCGGGCCTTTTGCCCCGCCCCGACAGCTTTCTGCCAGCTGCTGGCCCCTGGCCAGCGTGACCCCCTGTATGCGGGGTGCGTCACCGCCCTCGTCTCCGTGCCCTCCCTGAGCGCCTCAGCGCCTCGAGGCCCCTGTGCCCTGCCCACAGGGCTGCAGGGGCAGGTCGGATGCTTTCCTCTCCCACTCGTGGGTGGGGATGGCTCCCTAGAGCCGGTTGCCCGCACAGAACTTGCTCCCTCTTCTGGGACGGTCTTGCCCTCCCTCCCTCCCTCGCCGGCCTTCCCCTCAGCTGGTGTGAGTGAGCAAGTGCGTTTGTCCCCCTTTAGCCCCCCTTTAGCAATAGAGCAGGGTAACCTAGACTTCCCAGGAGGGAAAGAGGAGCTCTGTGCGGTCACAGGGGAGGTCCCTAAACAGGCACGGGTGAAGAACGCGTCCGGCCTTGCCCCTGCCGTCTGAGGAGGGCACGGAGCAGCTTAGCGATAGCGTGGGCACCGTGACCCGCCTGTAGCCTATGGCTGGGTGTGTGCCTACGCTGGCGGTCCTGCTGGTGACATGCCAGCGTGCCGGCCCTGTACTCGGGGCACGTGCCACGACCGTGTGGAGCCCTTTGTCCCCAGCGGCAGCCCCAGGTCCCTGTAAGCAGGGCTGGGGAGTCTGCTTTAGGCAGGTGGCAGGAACGAGCGCTCCCGGGCCCTGGCAAGGGCGCAGGTTGAAGAAGTGCCGCGCCACAGGGTGCGGTCCCGCCTTTGGCGCGGCTTCAGGCCGGTGCCTTGTTGAGGAGGCTCCCGAGGGGCTCCTGCAGACGGCTGTGTGGCCGGGCTGCTGCTGCTGCGGCTGGGCCCTGGCCGACCCCAAAGCGGGGCGCAGGCCAGGGCCTGTGCTCCGTGGTGCTTGTTGGGGGGTGCCGGGCTGCGGGGGACGGCCCCGTAAGTGGGGTTGTGTGCGTCCCCTGCCCTCGGCGGGCGGTTGGAGGGACCCCCTGTAACCAGGTGGGTATCCCTGGCCCCGGCCTTTCAGAGGCGTGGGGTCAGGAGTCATGGGGCCGGGCGTGTGCGCCCCCCGGGGCTGGGGTCCCGGCCCCTCGGCTTTAGGCCGTGAGCCTGAACATAGAGTCTCGTTCCTGTTGTCCCGGGGAAAGGCCGAGCTCTGTGGCTCCCTGGGTGTGGACCGGCCTGTAAGCAGGCTGTGGGTCTGGGAGCCTTTGTGCTCCCTTCAGCTGGCAGCCGGCGGAGAGAAGGAGCCTGCGTAGGCCTTGGGGGCCAGGGCCGCCCTGTAAGTCGGGGCCTGTGCTCTGGATTCCCGGGCACTTTGCAGTCCAGGCAGCGGCTTGAGCTCCCTGTAAGCAGGGGTGGCAGCCTCTTGGCCGCTGCTTGGCGTATGCCCAGCTTCATTTGCCCAGAGGGCCTGGCTCCCCGCACCGCATGGGACTGCGCCGGACGTCGAGATGGTGAGTCAAGCTGAAGTCGGAGGCTTTTGGGCGCAGCTGAGGCCGGGGGGGCTCTGTGGGTGGCGGCTTGAGGATCTGGCCGTGGGGCTGTTGGGTGGCGGTTCCCTTGAGGCACAGGAGCCGGAGCTTCTCCGGCCTGAGTGTGTCGTGGTCCATTGGCAGAAGCCACGGGACGACGAGGCAGGAGCGGCAGCAGCGTCGAGCTCAAGAGTGGAACGGCGAGGCAAGAGCGAGCTGGGAGCTGAAGAAGGGGGCAGGAGAGGCCCTCTGGGCAAAGAGCCTTCCTGGCACGGCCAGGGCACCTTCCGGGTGCCGTGGCTGGCTTTGCGTTGGGCGACCTCCCTGGAAGCAGGGCTGGGTCTTTGCTGACGTTGGCCTTTTGCCGTTGCGCTCCTTAGGCTGCCCGGAGAGAGGGGCAACCCTGTAAGGAGGGTGAGAGCCCCTGTCTCTGCACCTGAGGGGGGAAACAGAGCTCTCCCGATCCCCAGCCCAGCCACCTGCCCTGTCAGTAGGGCCGGGCCTTTTGCCCGGCCCCGACAGCTTTCTGCCAGCTGCTGGCCCCTGGCCAGCGTGACCCCCTGTATGCGGGGTGCGTCACCGCCCTCGTCTCCGTGCCCTCCCTGAGCGCCTCAGCGCCTCGAGGCCCCTGTGCCCTGCCCACAGGGCTGCAGGGGCAGGTCGGATGCTTTCCTCTCCCACTCGTGGGTGGGGATGGCTCCCTAGAGCCGGTTGCCCGCACAGAACTTGCTCCCTCTTCTGGGACGGTCTTGCCCTCCCTCCCTCCCTCGCCGGCCTTCCCCTCAGCTGGTGTGAGTGAGCAAGTGCGTTTGTCCCCCTTTAGCCCCCCTTTAGCAATAGAGCAGGGTAACCTAGACTTCCCAGGAGGGAAAGAGGAGCTCTGTGCGGTCACAGGGGAGGTCCCTAAACAGGCACGGGTGAAGAACGCGTCCGGCCTTGCCCCTGCCGCCTGAGGAGGGCACGGAGCAGCTTAGCGATAGCGTGGGCACCGTGACCCGCCTGTAGCCTATGGCTGGGTGTGTGCCTACGCTGGCGGTCCTGCTGGTGACATGCCAGCGTGCCGGCCCTGTACTCGGGGCACGTGCCACGACCGTGTGGAGCCCTTTGTCCCCAGCGGCAGCCCCAGGTCCCTGTAAGCAGGGCTGGGGAGTCTGCTTTAGGCAGGTGGCAGGAACGAGCGCTCCCGGGCCCTGGCAAGGGCGCAGGTTGAAGAAGTGCCGCGCCACAGGGTGCGGTCCCGCCTTTGGCGCGGCTTCAGGCCGGTGCCTTGTTGAGGAGGCTCCCGAGGGGCTCCTGCAGACGGCTGTGTGGCCGGGCTGCTGCTGCTGCGGCTGGGCCCTGGCCGACCCCAAAGCGGGGCGCAGGCCAGGGCCTGTGCTCCGTGGTGCTTGTTGGGGGGTGCCGGGCTGCGGGGGACGGCCCCGTAAGTGGGGTTGTGTGCGTCCCCTGCCCTCGGCGGGCGGTTGGAGGGACCCCCTATAACCAGGTGGGTATCCCTGGCCCCGGCCTTTCAGAGGCGTGGGGTCAGGAGTCATGGGGCCGGGCGTGTGCGCCCCCCGGGGCTGGGGTCCCGGCCCCTCGGCTTTAGGCCGTGAGCCTGAACATAGAGTCTCGTTCCTGTTGTCCCGGGGAAAGGCCGAGCTCTGTGGCTCCCTGGGTGTGGACCGGCCTGTAAGCAGGCTGTGGGTCTGGGAGCCTTTGTGCTCCCTTCAGCTGGCAGCCGGTGGAGAGAAGGAGCCTGCGTAGGCCTTGGGGGCCAGGGCCGCCCTGTAAGTCGGGGCCTGTGCTCTGGATTCCCGGGCACTTTGCAGTCCAGGCAGCGGCTTGAGCTCCCTGTAAGCAGGGGTGGCAGCCTCTTGGCCGCTGCTTGGCGTATGCCCAGCTTCATTTGCCCAGAGGGCCTGGCTCCCCGCACCGCATGGGACTGCGCCGGACGTCGAGATGGTGAGTCAAGCTGAAGTCGGAGGCTTTTGGGCGCAGCTGAGGCCGGGGGGGCTCTGTGGGTGGCGGCTTGAGGATCTGGCCGTGGGGCTGTTGGGTGGCGGTTCCCTTGAGGCACAGGAGCCGGAGCTTCTCCGGCCTGAGTGTGTCGTGGTCCATTGGCAGAAGCCACGGGACGACGAGGCAGGAGCGGCAGCAGCATCGAGCTCAAGAGTGGAACGGCGAGGCAAGAGCGAGCTGGGAGCTGAAGAAGGGGGCAGGAGAGGCCCTCTGGGCAAAGAGCCTTCCTGGCACGGCCAGGGCACCTTCCGGGTGCGTTGGGCGACCTCCCTGGAAGCAGGGCTGGGTCTTTGCTGACGTTGGCCTTTTGCCGTTGCGCTCCTTAGGCTGCCCGGAGAGAGGGGCAACCCTGTAAGGAGGGTGAGAGCCCCTGTCTCTGCACCTGAGGGGGGAAACAGAGCTCTCCCGATCCCCAGCCCAGCCACCTGCCCTGTCAGTAGGGCCGGGCCTTTTGCCCGGCCCCGACAGCTTTCTGCCAGCTGCTGGCCCCTGGCCAGCGTGACCCCCTGTATGCGGGGTGCGTCACCGCCCTCGTCTCCGTGCCCTCCCTGAGCGCCTCAGCGCCTCGAGGCCCCTGTGCCCTGCCCACAGGGCTGCAGGGGCAGGTCGTATGCTTTCCTCTCCCACTCGTGGGTGGGGATGGCTCCCTAGAGCTGGTTGCCCGCACAGAACTTGCTCCCTCTTCTGGGACGGTCTTGCCCTCCCTCCCTCCCTCGCCGGCCTTCCCCTCAGCTGGTGTGAGTGAGCAAGTGCGTTTGTCCCCCTTTAGCCCCCCTTTAGCAATAGAGCAGGGTAACCTAGACTTCCCAGGAGGGAAAGAGGAGCTCTGTGCGGTCACAGGGGAGGTCCCTAAACAGGCACGGGTGAAGAACGCGTCCGGCCTTGCCCCTGCCGTCTGAGGAGGGCACGGAGGAGCTTAGCGATAGCGTGGGCACCGTGACCCGCCTGTAGCCTATGGCTGGGTGTGTGCCTACGCTGGCGGTCCTGCTGGTGACATGCCAGCGTGCCGGCCCTGTACTCGGGGCACGTGTCACGACCGTGTGGAGCCCTTTGTCCCCAGCGGCAGCCCCAGGTCCCTGTAAGCAGGGCTGGGGAGTCTGCTTTAGGCAGGTGGCAGGAACGAGCGCTCCCGGGCCCTGGCAAGGGCGCAGGTTGAAGAAGTGCCGCGCCACAGGGTGCGGTCCCGCCTTTGGCGCGGCTTCAGGCCGGTGCCTTGTTGAGGAGGCTCCCGAGGGGCTCCTGCAGACGGCTGTGTGGCCGGGCTGCTGCTGCTGCGGCTGGGGCCTGGCCGACCCCAAAGCGGGGCGCAGGCCAGGGCCTGTGCTCCGTGGTGCTTGTTGGGGGGTGCCGGGCTGCGGGGGACGGCCCCGTAAGTGGGGTTGTGTGCGTCCCCTGCCCTCGGCGGGCGGTTGGAGGGGCCCCCTGTAACCAGGTGGGTATCCCTGGCCCCGGCCTTTCAGAGGCGTGGGGTCAGGAGTCATGGGGCCGGGCGTGTGCGCCCCCCGGGGCTGGGGTCCCGGCCCCTCGGCTTTAGGCCGTGAGCCTGAACATAGAGTCTCGTTCCTGTTGTCCCGGGGAAAGGCCGAGCTCTGTGGCTCCCTGGGTGTGGACCGGCCTGTAAGCAGGCTGTGGGTCTGGGAGCCTTTGTGCTCCCTTCAGCTGGCAGCCGGCGGAGAGAAGGAGCCTGCGTAGGCCTTGGGGGCCAGGGCCGCCCTGTAAGTCGGGGCCTGTGCTCTGGATTTCCAGGCACTTTGCACTCCAGGCAGTGGCTTGAGCTCCCTGTAAGCAGGGGTGGCAGCCTCTTGGCCGCTGCTTGGCGTATGCCCAGCTTCATTTGCCCAGAGGGCCTGGCTCCCCGCACCGCATGGGACTGCGCCGGACGTCGAGATGGTGAGTCAAGCTGAAGTCGGAGGCTTTTGGGCGCAGCTGAGGCCGGGGGGGCTCTGTGGGTGGCGGCTTGAGGATCTGGCCGTGGGGCTGTTGGGTGGCGGTTCCCTTGAGGCACAGGAGCCGGAGCTTCTCTGGCCTGAGTGTGTCGTGGTCCATTGGCAGAAGCCACGGGACGACGAGGCAGGAGCGGCAGCAGCGTCGAGCTCAAGAGTGGAACGGCGAGGCAAGAGCGAGCTGGGAGCTGAAGAAGGGGGCAGGAGAGGCCCTCTGGGCAAAGGGACTTCCTGGCACGGCCAGGGCACCTTCCGGGTGCCGTGGCTGGCTTTGCGTTGGGCGACCTCCCTGGAAGCAGGGCTGGGTCTTTGCTGACGTTGGCCTTTTGCCGTTGCGCTCCTTAGGCTGCCCGGAGAGAGGGGCAACCCTGTAAGGAGGGTGAGAGCCCCTGTCTCTGCACCTGACGGGGGAAACAGAGCTCTCCCGATCCCCAGCCCAGCCACCTGCCCTGTCAGTAGGGCCGGGCCTTTTGCCCGGCCCCGACAGCTTTCTGCCAGCTGCTGGCCCCTGGCCAGCGTGACCCCCTGTATGCGGGGTGCGTCACCGCCCTCGTCTCCGTGCCCTCCCTGAGCGCCTCAGCGCCTCGAGGCCCCTGTGCCCTGCCCACAGGGCTGCAGGGGCAGGTCGGATGCTTTCCTCTCCCACTCGTGGGTGGGGATGGCTCCCTAGAGCCGGTTGCCCGCACAGAACTTGCTCCCTCTTCTGGGACGGTCTTGCCCTCCCTCCCTCCCTCGCCGGCCTTCCCCTCAGCTGGTGTGAGTGAGCAAGTGCGTTTGTCCCCCTTTAGCCCCCCTTTAGCAATAGAGCAGGGTAACCTAGACTTCCCAGGAGGGAAAGAGGAGCTCTGTGCGGTCACAGGGGAGGTCCCTAAACAGGCACGGGTGAAGAACGCGTCCGGCCTTGCCCCTGCCGCCTGAGGAGGGCACGGAGCAGCTTAGCGATAGCGTGGGCACCGTGACCCGCCTGTAGCCTATGGCTGGGTGTGTGCCTACGCTGGCGGTCCTGCTGGTGACATGCCAGCGTGCCGGCCCTGTACTCGGGGCACGTGTCACGACCGTGTGGAGCCCTTTGTCCCCAGCGGCAGCCCCAGGTCCCTGTAAGCAGGGCTGGGGAGTCTGCTTTAGGCAGGTGGCAGGAACGAGCGCTCCCGGGCCCTGGCAAGGGCGCAGGTTGAAGAAGTGCCGCGCCACAGGGTGCGGTCCCGCCTTTGGCGCGGCTTCAGGCCGGTGCCTTGTTGAGGAGGCTCCCGAGGGGCTCCTGCAGACAGCTGTGTGGCCGGGCTGCTGCTGCTGCGGCTGGGCCCTGGCCGACCCCAAAGCGGGGCGCAGGCCAGGGCCTGTGCTCCGTGGTGCTTGTTGGGGGGTGCCGGGCTGCGGGGGACGGCCCCGTAAGTGGGGTTGTGTGCGTCCCCTGCCCTCGGCGGGCGGTTGGAGGGACCCCCTGTAACCAGGTGGGTATCCCTGGCCCCGGCCTTTCAGAGGCGTGGGGTCAGGAGTCATGGGGCCGGGCGTGTGCGCTCCCCGGGACTGGGGTCCCGGCCCCTCGGCTTTAGGCCGTGAGCCTGAACATAGAATCTCGTTCCTGTTGTCCCGGGGAAAGGCTGAGCTCTGTGGCTCCCTGGGTGTGGACCGGCCTGTAAGCAGGCTGTGGGTCTGGGAGCCTTTGTGCTCCCTTCAGCTGGCAGCCGGCGGAGAGAAGGAGCCTGCGTAGGCCTTGGGGGCCAGGGCCGCCCTGTAAGTCGGGGCCTGTGCTCTGGATTTCCAGGCACTTTGCAGTCCAGGCAGCGGCTTGAGCTCCCTGTAAGCAGGGGTGGCAGCCTCTTGGCCGCTGCTTGGCGTATGCCCAGCTTCATTTGCCCAGAGGGCCTGGCTCCCCGCACCGCATGGGACTGCGCCGGACGTCGAGATGGTGATTCAAGCTGAAGTCGGAGGCTTTTGGGCGCAGCTGAGGCCGGGGGGGCTCTGTGGGTGGCGGCTTGAGGATCTGGCCGTGGGGCTGTTGGGTGGCGGTTCCCTTGAGGCACAGGAGCCGGAGCTTCTCTGGCCTGAGTGTGTCGTGGTCCATTGGCAGAAGCCACGGGACGACGAGGCAGGAGCGGCAGCAGCGTCGAGCTCAAGAGTGGAACGGCGAGGCAAGAGCGAGCTGGGAGCTGAAGAAGGGGGCAGGAGAGGCCCTCTGGGCAAAGGGACTTCCTGGCACGGCCAGGGCACCTTCCGGGTGCCGTGGCTGGCTTTGCGTTGGGCGACCTCCCTGGAAGCAGGGCTGGGTCTTTGCTGACGTTGGCCTTTTGCCGTTGCGCTCCTTAGGCTGCCCGGAGAGAGGGGCAACCCTGTAAGGAGGGTGAGAGCCCCTGTCTCTGCACCTGACGGGGGAAACAGAGCTCTCCCGATCCCCAGCCCAGCCACCTGCCCTGTCAGTAGGGCCGGGCCTTTTGCCCGGCCCCGACAGCTTTCTGCCAGCTGCTGGCCCCTGGCCAGCGTGACCCCCTGTATGCGGGGTGCGTCACCGCCCTCGTCTCCGTGCCCTCCCTGAGCGCCTCAGCGCCTCGAGGCCCCTGTGCCCTGCCCACAGGGCTGCAGGGGCAGGTCGGATGCTTTCCTCTCCCACTCGTGGGTGGGGATGGCTCCCTAGAGCCGGTTGCCCGCACAGAACTTGCTCCCTCTTCTGGGACGGTCTTGCCCTCCCTCCCTCCCTCGCCGGCCTTCCCCTCAGCTGGTGTGAGTGAGCAAGTGTGTTTGTCCCCCTTTAGCCCCCCTTTAGCAATAGAGCAGGGTAACCTAGACTTCCCAGGAGGGAAAGAGGAGCTCTGTGCGGTCACAGGGGAGGTCCCTAAACAGGCACGGGTGAAGAACGCGTCCGGCCTTGCCCCTGCCGCCTGAGGAGGGCACGGAGCAGCTTAGCGATAGCGTGGGCACCGTGACCCGCCTGTAGCCTATGGCTGGGTGTGTGCCTACGCTGGCGGTCCTGCTGGTGACATGCCAGCGTGCCGGCCCTGTACTCGGGGCACGTGTCACGACCGTGTGGAGCCCTTTGTCCCCAGCGGCAGCCCCAGGTCCCTGTAAGCAGGGCTGGGGAGTCTGCTTTAGGCAGGTGGCAGGAACGAGCGCTCCCGGGCCCTGGCAAGGGCGCAGGTTGAAGAAGTGCCGCGCCACAGGGTGCGGTCCCGCCTTTGGCGCGGCTTCAGGCCGGTGCCTTGTTGAGGAGGCTCCCGAGGGGCTCCTGCAGACGGCTGTGTGGCCGGGCTGCTGCTGCTGCGGCTGGGCCCTGGCCGACCCCAAAGCGGGGCGCAGGCCAGGGCCTGTGCTCCGTGGTGCTTGTTGGGGGGTGCCGGGCTGCGGGGGACGGCCCCGTAAGTGGGGTTGTGTGCGTCCCCTGCCCTCGGCGGGCGGTTGGAGGGACCCCCTGTAACCAGGTGGGTATCCCTGGCCCCGGCCTTTCAGAGGCGTGGGGTCAGGAGTCATGGGGCCGGGCGTGTGCGCTCCCCGGGGCTGGGGTCCCGGCCCCTCGGCTTTAGGCCGTGAGCCTGAACATAGAGTCTCGTTCCTGTTGTCCCGGGGAAAGGCCGAGCTCTGTGGCTCCCTGGGTGTGGACCGGCCTGTAAGCAGGCTGTGGGTCTGGGAGCCTTTGTGCTCCCTTCAGCTGGCAGCCGGCGGAGAGAAGGAGCCTGCGTAGGCCTTGGGGGCCAGGGCCGCCCTGTAAGTCGGGGCCTGTGCTCTGGATTCCCGGGCACTTTGCAGTCCAGGCAGCGGCTTGAGCTCCCTGTAAGCAGGGGTGGCAGCCTCTTGGCCGCTGCTTGGCGTATGCCCAGCTTCATTTGCCCAGAGGGCCTGGCTCCCCGCACCGCATGGGACTGCGCCGGACGTCGAGATGGTGAGTCAAGCTGAAGTCGGAGGCTTTTGGGCGCAGCTGAGGCCGGGGGGGCTCTGTGGGTGGCGGCTTGAGGATCTGGCCGTGGGGCTGTTGGGTGGCGGTTCCCTTGAGGCACAGGAGCCGGAGCTTCTCCGGCCTGAGTGTGTCGTGGTCCATTGGCAGAAGCCACGGGACGACGAGGCAGGAGCGGCAGCAGCGTCGAGCTCAAGAGTGGAACGGCGAGGCAAGAGCGAGCTGGGAGCTGAAGAAGGGGGCAGGAGAGGCCCTCTGGGCAAAGGGACTTCCTGGCACGGCCAGGGCACCTTCCGGGTGCCGTGGCTGGCTTTGCGTTGGGCGACCTCCCTGGAAGCAGGGCTGGGTCTTTGCTGACGTTGGCCTTTTGCCGTTGCGCTCCTTAGGCTGCCCGGAGAGAGGGGCAACCCTGTAAGGAGGGTGAGAGCCCCTGTCTCTGCACCTGACGGGGGAAACAGAGCTCTCCCGATCCCCAGCCCAGCCACCTGCCCTGTCAGTAGGGCCGGGCCTTTTGCCCGGCCCCGACAGCTTTCTGCCAGCTGCTGGCCCCTGGCCAGCGTGACCCCCTGTATGCGGGGTGCGTCACCGCCCTCGTCTCCGTGCCCTCCCTGAGCGCCTCAGCGCCTCGAGGCCCCTGTGCCCTGCCCACAGGGCTGCAGGGGCAGGTCGGATGCTTTCCTCTCCCACTCGTGGGTGGGGATGGCTCCCTAGAGCTGGTTGCCCGCACAGAACTTGCTCCCTCTTCTGGGACGGTCTTGCCCTCCCTCCCTCCCTCGCCGGCCTTCCCCTCAGCTGGTGTGAGTGAGCAAGTGCGTTTGTCCCCCTTTAGCCCCCCTTTAGCAATAGAGCAGGGTAACCTAGACTTCCCAGGAGGGAAAGAGGAGCTCTGTGCGGTCACAGGGGAGGTCCCTAAACAGGCACGGGTGAAGAACGCGTCCGGCCTTGCCCCTGCCGTCTGAGGAGGGCACGGAGCAGCTTAGCGATAGCGTGGGCACCGTGACCCGCCTGTAGCCTATGGCTGGGTGTGTGCCTACGCTGGCGGTCCTGCTGGTGACATGCCAGCGTGCCGGCCCTGTACTCGGGGCACGTGCCACGACCGTGTGGAGCCCTTTGTCCCCAGCGGCAGCCCCAGGTCCCTGTAAGCAGGGCTGGGGAGTCTGCTTTAGGCAGGTGGCAGGAACGAGCGCTCCCGGGCCCTGGCAAGGGCGCAGGTTGAAGAAGTGCCGCGCCACAGGGTGCGGTCCCGCCTTTGGCGCGGCTTCAGGCCGGTGCCTTGTTGAGGAGGCTCCCGAGGGGCTCCTGCAGACGGCTGTGTGGCCGGGCTGCTGCTGCTGCGGCTGGGGCCTGGCCGACCCCAAAGCGGGGCGCAGGCCAGGGCCTGTGCTCCGTGGTGCTTGTTGGGGGGTGCCGGGCTGCGGGGGACGGCCCCGTAAGTGGGGTTGTGTGCGTCCCCTGCCCTCGGCGGGCGGTTGGAGGGACCCCCTGTAACCAGGTGGGTATCCCTGGCCCCGGCCTTTCAGAGGCGTGGGGTCAGGAGTCATGGGGCCGGGCGTGTGCGCCCCCCGGGGCTGGGGTCCCGGCCCCTCGGCTTTAGGCCGTGAGCCTGAACATAGAGTCTCGTTCCTGTTGTCCCGGGGAAAGGCCGAGCTCTGTGGCTCCCTGGGTGTGGACCGGCCTGTAAGCAGGCTGTGGGTCTGGGAGCCTTTGTGCTCCCTTCAGCTGGCAGCCGGCGGAGAGAAGGAGCCTGCGTAGGCCTTGGGGGCCAGGGCCGCCCTGTAAGTCGGGGCCTGTGCTCTGGATTTCCAGGCACTTTGCAGTCCAGGCAGTGGCTTGAGCTCCCTGTAAGCAGGGGTGGCAGCCTCTTGGCCGCTGCTTGGCGTATGCCCAGCTTCATTTGCCCAGAGGGCCTGGCTCCCCGCACCGCATGGGACTGCGCCGGACGTCGAGATGGTGAGTCAAGCTGAAGTCGGAGGCTTTTGGGCGCAGCTGAGGCCGGGGGGGCTCTGTGGGTGGCGGCTTGAGGATCTGGCCGTGGGGCTGTTGGGTGGCGGTTCCCTTGAGGCACAGGAGCCGGAGCTTCTCCGGCCTGAGTGTGTCGTGGTCCATTGGCAGAAGCCACGGGACGACGAGGCAGGAGCGGCAGCAGCGTCGAGCTCAAGAGTGGAACGGCGAGGCAAGAGCGAGCTGGGAGCTGAAGAAGGGGGCAGGAGAGGCCCTCTGGGCAAAGAGCCTTCCTGGCACGGCCAGGGCACCTTCCGGGTGCCGTGGCTGGCTTTGCGTTGGGCGACCTCCCTGGAAGCAGGGCTGGGTCTTTGCTGACGTTGGCCTTTTGCCGTTGCGCTCCTTAGGCTGCCCGGAGAGAGGGGCAACCCTGTAAGGAGGGTGAGAGCCCCTGTCTCTGCACCTGAGGGGGGAAACAGAGCTCTCCCGATCCCCAGCCCAGCCACCTGCCCTGTCAGTAGGGCCGGGCCTTTGCCCGGCCCCGACAGCTTTCTGCCAGCTGCTGGCCCCTGGCCAGCGTGACCCCCTGTATGCGGGGTGCGTCACCGCCCTCGTCTCCGTGCCCTCCCTGAGCGCCTCAGCGCCTCGAGGCCCCTGTGCCCTGCCCACAGGGCTGCAGGGGCAGGTCGGATGCTTTCCTCTCCCACTCGTGGGTGGGGATGGCTCCCTAGAGCCGGTTGCCCGCACAGAACTTGCTCCCTCTTCTGGGACGGTCTTGCCCTCCCTCCCTCCCTCGCCGGCCTTCCCCTCAGCTGGTGTGAGTGAGCAAGTGCGTTTGTCCCCCTTTAGCCCCCCTTTAGCAATAGAGCAGGGTAACCTAGACTTCCCAGGAGGGAAAGAGGAGCTCTGTGCGGTCACAGGGGAGGTCCCT